TCGATTTTGTTGATCCCCACCAGGGTTCCTATTGTTCTCCGGATTGCCACCTTGGTTAGCCATTTCAGATGAACCTTCTTGGTTGTCCTGTTGCAACCGGTTCTGCCTCTTCTTGCTGCTCTGGTTCTACGGATGGTAGCTTCAATTTCTGGGTCAAAAACAGGTTCACTTCGTTGGTGCCTTCTAGTCATACACCAAGGAAAAGAAACTGGAAGCTTAGTGAGGTAACCAGAGAAGAATTTTATATATATATATATATACACAAATGAAAACAACAAATTTTGGAGGTTTTACGCCGTCCCCGGCAACGGCGCCACTTTTTGGTGCTTGCCGAGTTCACCAAAAAAAAATAATAAATATTACTAGCTTGGATTATGAGTTTTGTAGATAATGGAAGCTAGGTCGATCCTACGAGGACAGCTAATTACCAAATTTGTTGTAAAGAAAACTGTCAGTCAACAAGGTGTCACTCAGGAGAATGAAAACAGTCACTCAGGGGAATGGAGGCCAGGGGTGTTATTCTCCTCTCCTACTGTTGTAGTTGTTCTATTAGCACTGTAATGGTTGAGTTCTTGTTCATTCAGCTCACTTATAACTCTAAGTCAGTTCCCATTTTTCCAAGAGTCATCTTTGCAACCTTAACAACCTATTTTCCAATGATTGATTCAGCTACAAAGTCATTAAGTTCTTAGGCCTTCAAGAATGCTTATGTTAACTAAGTATATTCCTATCTTAGTTAAAACCATAGACTGTTACCTCTATGTCATAAGTTAAGGTTGAAACAATCCAAACCAAGTTTATCCTTCCAGATTTCCTTAGTTCTAGCATGCATTCAATTTAGTGATCAAGTAAATGAATGTAGAAAAACTTTCAACCATAAAACAAGGAACAAAACCAGTACTTTGACAACTACAACATCAGTTGAGGAGAATAACCTCTGGGAACTATTTAGCTACTCATACAGATTAATGCTACGTCTACTACATCGAAAGACATCATAGAAGTATGCATAGTAAATAAAATTCAAGCTAACAGTCAAGAGATGAGGAGAAAGCTTGTGCAGTTTCTGAGTCACTCCTGGGAGTGAAAGGGTTCACTCGTGGAACTGAAGAAGAAACTGGGTTGCTATTCTTCAACTCGGCTTCCTCCCTGAGTTGTTGCTGCTTCTTCTTCTTTCTTGCCTTCTACCTGGAGTTTTTCTGAGTGTTTTTAGCAACTGAAAGGGAACCAGAGATTGAGAGATGGATTTTTTTGTTAGAGTGCTGTTCCCTCCTTTATAGTGCCTTGCAACCGGTGTCTTCATCATGAGAGCCTCCCCATGCTTGGAGTTGTTTAATCCTTCCAATGTCTTGAGCCTGCAATCCAACTTGGCCGTTCCTTTTCTCTCTTCCAGCAGTGGCCGTTTTGCTCTCATTGATCAGCAGTGGTGGCTGAGGTTGCGGCTGGGGGACAAGCATGCCTCTAAGAGGAGGCAACGCCATTAATGACAAGATGCTTCTTGTCTAAGGGCCTTCTTCTTCGTCCAGCTCAGCAACCTTGCCTCAGCAGCCCGTAAATTGCTCCTTTGGCTTCCAATTTTCAGCAATTATTCGATCCGGTCCTTTCCTAACAATAACATGAAAATGAGCTAAGTAAATTGCATCAATGCTAGGAAATACCCCCAATTGTTCATCAAATACAAGGTTGATAGTGATGTTTTTATGTAATAATTTAGCCATTATCAGCCTCCTCCGCAATGCTTCATATGCGGACTTGATTGTGAATACTCCCAATGGGGTCGGCTTCCAGACGAGCTTGTCTTCCCTCTCACTGAAGAATAAATCCATTTCCTCCAAGACACGAAAAGCTCTATCCTCCAACCATCCCCGAATCTCTTGTAAGTAAAGATTCTTCATTGAGAAAAACTCCCGGATTGTAAGGTTTGGCATTGGAGGTTCCGTATCCTGGATGTCCCATATACGGCCCAAACTTGACCATTGATCAAACCAGAAGCTACTATTTCCTCTATGCACCAATACCTTTGAAAAAGACGATGCAAGATGATCAATTTTGGTAAACCGGCTCCAAGAAGTTCTTTTCCTCGCATAATGCAACAAAGAGAGCACGAAATTCGCCCAAATGCCTTGCTTATGTTTAACGTTCCACCATATTTTAAGGGAAAAGGCTTGCAAAACCTCTTGAAAATCGTGCAATCCAACACCATTTCCAGCACTGGGTAGGTAAGCCAGTTCCAGTATCTCTAGTGTTTTTTTCCATCACCTTCCACACCTTCCCATAGGAACCATTGGCATCGGTGAGTAATGGCATTCAAGATTGATTTCAGAGGCTCAATGGCCGCAAAAACATGTATTGGGATGGTGGACAACACATGTTTAATTAGTACAAGCCTCCCACCTTGACTAAGGAATTTATTCTTCCAATTCGATAACTTCACTTCCAATGCATCTAGTATAAATTGAAAGATTGCAGCCTTTTTCCTCCCTACAAATATCCTACGTCCAAGATAGACAAAGGGAAAGGATCCTTTTTGTATACCTAGACACCGAGTAATTGTTGCAATCCGGGAGTAATTACATCCTTCATTCACATAAAAATTACTTTTCTCTCTATTCACCTTTTGTCCAGACGCCATTTCATAATCCTCAAAGAAGTTGTTCAATACCTTCAGAGAGGTTTGCAAACCGCGGGTGAACACAATGAGACCATCAGCAAAACAAAGGTGGGAGACATAGGTGGAGCCAGTTGGAGTACCAAAACAAACAATTCTTCTTCGTTCCATCAACCATTTCAACCGTCGTGACATCGCTTCAGAGACAAGGATAAACAAAAAGGGGGAAAGAGGATCACCCTGCTTGATTCCTCTACTTGCCTTAAAGAAAGCTGTTGGATTGCCATTCACCAAAACCGAAAACCAACTATGTTTTAGGTTATTTAAAACCAGAGAAACAAAATGAGAAGGAAAGCCAAACCTCAACAACACTGCTGCTAGAAAACTCCAAGAAACGCGATCAAAAGCTTTCATCATATCCACCTTCAGGACCACGTTATTACCCACAGCTTTGTGTTTAAGGAACTGGCACAAATCTTGAGTAAGCATGATATTATCATTGATGTCTCGACCCTCCAAAAAAGCCGATTGCTCCTCAGAGATTAATTTAGGCAGCACCTTCTTCAACCTTTCCGTGAGGATCTTCGTAAAAATCTTATTGATGAAATTACACAAGCTTATCGGCCTAAAGTCCGAAAAGGTTGTGATAGAGGTCTTCTTTGGGATTAAAGTAACAAGAGTACTCCCAATCGCTCTTGGGAGAGGAACTCCAATCATGAATACTTTACAGGCGTTTAGGAGGTCCGATCCTATAATATTCCAGCAAGCCCTATAAAATGAGCCTCCAAATTCATCCGCTCCTGGCGCACTGTTGGCATCAAGACTTTCCATAGCATTCTTAACTTCATTCAAGGTTATCTCACCCAAGAGTAAATGATGATCTTCTTGCCCAAGGATCAAGGGGATGTGCTGTAAAAACCTTTCCTGAATATCAATCCACGGTACCACATTTTCCTCCTTTAAAAGACCCTCAAAAAATTTTGTGGCTTGGGCTTCAATATCTTGTTTTTCAGTGAGCCAATCCCCAGTATCATTCTGAATTTTATGTACATTCATCTTAGCTTTTTTCTCAGTAAGAGCAGCATGAAAGAAAGATAAGTTGCAATCTCCTTCCTTCAACCATTTTAGTCTTATTTTCTGCTTCCAAAAGTCTTCGTGCTCCTTGAGTTTTAATAGCAATTCAGCACGAGCTAAATGAAGATGAGTTCTGTCTTCCTCGGATCGGGTGGCATCAAATTTCATTTCCAACTCTTGAACCTTCTTTTCAGCCACCTTTAAGTTATCAAAAACGTTACCAAAAACAGTTTTATTCCACTCCTTTAGTTTAAGCTTCAACCGGCACAATTTCAAGGAAAACCGCAACATGCCAAAACAATCAATAGGCGCATTCCAGTTCTCCTCTACCACATCCAAGAAATCAGCCCTTCTTAGCCACATATTCTGAAACCGAAAGCTTTTCGGCTGCTGGTCCGTGGAGGGTTTAAATTGAAGCAACATAGGGCAGTGATCAGAGGAAGTTTGGTTTAGGTTTTCCACCGAGGCTATTGGAAAATGGTTTAACCATTCTTGGGAGAACAGGATTCGATCTAGCTTTTTGCTTACCCAGCCCGTCCGCCTTGTACCTCCCCATGTGAAGTCCTCCCCCACAACAAGCAATTCCGTTAGTGATGAGGCTTCAATAAAGTTATTAAATTCACCGATGGCTTCTTGATCTTGAACTGAAACTCCCGAATACTCTTCAAGCGAACGAATGATGTTAAAATCTCCCCCAACTAACCAAAGAGAATCGAGGTGGTGATGCCGGAAACCTTGTAGCTCAGTCCATAGCTCCCTTCTAGCAACCCTAGTTGATTTTGCATACATAGCGGAAACCAGAGTTACTAGATTCAAGGATTGATGTTCTATTTCCAGGTGCAAAGCCTGCTCCGAGCCTCCAGCAGTGTCATCCGAATACCTTTTTACATAGAACCCAAATCTTGGTTGACGAGGAAGAAAAACCACACTCAAAGCGGAGCTGCCTCCTTATTACTTCTAGTTCATTACTTGGGAGCATAGGCTCCAAAAGTACAAGAAAAGAGACTTTGTAAAGGTCAATCAAAGATGTTAAGTGCTGCAATGAGGCCTCCTTCCTAACTCCACGAATATTCCAAATGATGTAACTAATCATCAATGTTTTATTAAATAAGATACGCGTGTTATTCAAAGCAAGCGGGCAGAGCGCCGAAGCTCCACACCCTCATTTAATTTGGCTCTTTCCGCCTTGGACTTCCTTCCCCTTTTCCTTTTAACTGCAATGATCTCACCAGTTTCCGACCGTTCCACATGAGCATCATCTCTTTCCCCCTCGGACCAGCCGAACTCTTCCGCCGCTGCTTCTTCTTCATCGTCTTCACTAACTGTTCCAATGACGGAGTCATCGCACAACTTTTCTCCCATCGGTTTCGGAATCAGTGACATGTGCTGCAAATCATCTTGTAATTGTTGCTGGTTAGGGGCTGCTATCTCCTCTGCGAATACAAGCTCCTCTTCATCTGAATCCTCTATTAGTGCAGTATCATCATTGCCTAAATTCCGTAATACACTGAAAGGGTTTGACGGTTGCGCAAAAGTGATCAAGTTCGGCGATCCGGTAGGAGTTGTTGTCAGCTTTTTTGTGGGACTTTCCTGTAAATCGACCAGGATGAGGGCTTTATCGTGGACTGAAAGACCAGACGACGTAGCAGGTTCGCGCAGCATTAGGGTTTCCGCTGGCAGTTGCAGAGCTAGGGTTTCCGTGGGTAGTTGCGGAGTGAGGGTTTCTGTCGACTGCAATGTCGCCGCAGTCAATTTCACAATCAACGGATTCAGGTTCACTATTTCCACTTCTAAATCTTGCTTCTTCCCTCCTGCTTCAGTACTCTTGGTTGGCCTCACAAGGGGAATTTTTATTCCTTTCTTCTTAGCCCTAGTTCCATCTTCCTTAGCTGCGACATCTTCCGGATTTTTTTGTGAGGGTTTCCCCATTCGACAATCAGATTCCTTATGTCCTATCTTGCAACTTTTTTGACAGTAGAAAGGGACATACTCAAAGGTAAAAAACTGTTCATGTTTTCGGCCCTTCTTCCCTATCTTGACTGATTTGACAAGTTCCTTTGTGAGATCAACTTCAACACAAAACCGAGCCACCGAGGGTCTCGTCATATTCAAACTTAGAGTGTCCACCTTCAATGGTTGACCCAGAGCTGTAGCCATCGAGTATATCACCTCCGGGTGCATATATTCAATTGGCAAGTCGAAGAGGGAGACCCAAATTGGGATTATCGGGGGATCTTCCTCAAACCTAAAACCCCGCGTCCACTTCAATATTCTCATCGAAAACCCTCTGATGTTCCAAAAGGTTCTTATCCAACATCTCTGATAATCATCCTCCTGCTCAAACCGGATTAGAACATGCCTAGGAGTCATGAGGCCCAGGGTGTATGCGCCATTGAATCCGATTTTCTTGAACTCTTTATGGATTTCATCCATTTTTGGCCGGCCATATGAAAATTTTCCAACCAAGCATAGTCGGTGTGGTGCAACCAACCTCTCAAACTCGTCTTCTTCATATTCCAGTGTTGGGGTACCATTAATAAATTTTATCGGCTTAATAAGCGAATCTTTATTATCCACCACATTAAGAGGTTTTTGGAAAAAGCATGCAAAAGATCTTGGCGGCTCAGAGGGAGCCACCGGCGGTAAGCTGCCGGCCATAAGGCCGTAGATGGTGGCCGCCGGCTTTGTTTGGCGGCTAGGGTTTAGAGTAGAGAGTATTGGCGGCTAGGGTTAAAAAAATCTTTTATACATACATGATCAGTAATATATATAAATATATATAATAAATAAATAATTAATATTAATAAATATATAAATAACATGTGGATGGTAGTTTCCATGGTGCACATATCGAAATTTACGGAAGGTATATATAGACATATTAAGAACAGATATACGTGAAATATGTATCCGGAATTTAAAGGAGTAAAACAATTTAAAAAAAACTAATTATCCCGTAACGTATGTAGATTACATGAATGCTTCAAGATAAACAAATTTTGAAGTGCAAATTAGTGTGTAATTAATGGGAAATTAATGAATGAAGTTAAACTGTGATTAAAAATAAGGCAAGGATCATTGGCAATGTGATTTTTACTTTTGATTTCGTGACATTCTGGAAGGTTGATATGATAACGATGATTTGATAAATATGAAATTTGAAAGTCATATTGAAAGTATCAGAAATGATCCACATCAGTATACAAAAACGGATGGGAGAAATAATCCCAAATTTGTGGAAGGATCACTATTTTTGATACAGGGAAAATTTACATGGAAAAAATATAATTTTAATTTTACATAATAATAAAAGTTGCAGAAAGATCACAGACAGTAAAGATACAACGATGATGCTTTGTGATAGCTTTAAAATGTATATGGAAAAAATTAAATATTAAGGACATGGGGATAATGTAAATAATTATCAAAATCCTTTTTGATAGGATTTTATTGATTTCCAGTTACCATTATAGTTTAGATGGGATAAAAACACTCCTTGAAAAAGTTAAGGTTAATGCTTGGTAAATTGATCATCGACTTAAAGGTGGTTAGTTAATTTATCAATAAGTTGTTTATAGAGATTGAAATCACTGTATAAGCGATATAATGATGACTTTTGTTAACCCTTTTCCTTGAATTTTGTACGAAATAAATCCAAACAAATGATTGAGAAGATCCAGATATTACCGAAATATATATCTTGAGAGGAGGATATTATAATGCGTTATTCAATTATTGAAAACCATCAATAACAACACAAATTTTTCCCATAATCGACATCTTCGTTATATATTCCAACTTTTCTATTTAGTACATCTAAATTATGAATTATCCCCATCAAAATAGGTTGTAAAAAAAATGTTCTATTTTAAATTTGAAGTAAGATGCAAAAAAAAAAAAAAAGGACGACGGCTACATTAGCAATTTAAAAAATATTTTATTTAAGTAACAAATAAAATAAACCATAAAAATTGAAAATTACACAATTAGCGAACAATAGATCAAACGATCAAAATAAAAGCGATGTTTTTTTTCTTCGTTTTGACACTTTCAATGTCCAAAACAAATTGACATTCACTTCAAGGTGCAATCGTATTATCATGAAGGAGTTTACTCCAATTCCCTCCCAGCTTTAATTGTTGAAGTTTTTTTCCTGTGTAGCTTGCGTCATAAGACTTCAAAATGTTCATGGAGTAAATTCGACCATTTATTTGGATGGTAGCAAATCCCTTCGTAGTGATGCGTTTATGTTGTCTCCAAAAACTTGCTGGTATAGTCTAAAATTAATATAGTTAATTACAATGGAAAATAGAAAAATTGGAAAAAAAATATCATGGAATAATACATAATATTTGTAATAAGACATTTGTAGCTTACAATTGCTTTATGGACACAGTGATTTAAACCGATTGTTATCTAAAACCAAATGGACCTAATACCGGCAAGGAGCTCTGATCTGAACTCCGTTTTCTTTGAAAAATTGTAGTGTCAAGTTATCACTACCAACATGAATTAATAATGTAGATTCAGCTTTAGACAAAAAATCAACATGATCAGACATGAATTTTCTCCAAGATTCACCTGCAAGGATTAGTTCAGATGGGTCTGTTACTGAGTATACCATATCAACACCAAATTTATACGCCCCATAATTGACATTCCAGTATGCCGATCTTGTGCCATTTTGTGCATGTTCTGGAAACAAAATCTGACTTACTCCATCTAGTATACACTGTAAGAATCATAGTTACATATACATCAAATTAAAATTATCATTAAAAAAAAACATGTGATCGAGAAAATTGTACCATATAGTTTTTGATATATTTGAATTTGTCCCATATAATAGGAGGATATAAATTATCCGCCGGTGTTCGATCCTTGGTCAGGACGTGTACTTCCAAAATACCAATTTCTTTTACCGTGAAGAAAAGAGCGCTGTAGACAACCAAACTATTTTCCGTAACAAAGTACATCCAGTTTTTTGAAAACAAATAAATTGATTTCGTCTGACCAAGGTAATTGCATGACACTTTAAACTCCCTATCGTTACTCATTAGAGTTATATCGTCGCCGGGATTATGGCCTTCAGATAAAACATTAGGCAGTGGAATTTTCTACAAAAAAAGGAACAATTATAACAACAAACGCCAATTGACGATCTAATATGACTACCAACATTCTTATAAATACATGATGCAGAATTAAAGAATTTAATATTAGAAAACTTACAAGGCCAAAGACAAACCCCGGAGTGAGAACAGTAAGACTACTTCCCATGTCCCTTTCTGATGGAGACCATCTAGCTAACACTAATGAAGAGGGACATGTTGCTGCCAATAATGGAGAAGACGAGCAAGGTGAGGTCGTGAATGCTAATGGAGGATCTAAAGATGCTGCTTTAAAGAATAATCCTTACATTCGTGATCCACTTTCAAACATTGTTGGACCAATGACTCGTGCTAGACGCAAGAGGATGAATGAATCACTTAATAGTCTAATTGCTACTACATGGGCTAAGGAGGAAATTAAGCTTGAAGATTACAAGCCCAAGACTATTAATTTGCTGCAAGTAACACCAAATGGACATGGCCCATTTGAAGAGAAGAATTTCGGCCCTCAATCCACAAAGGGACCGCCGGCCACCTTTCCTCATGTTGGTCGAATTGTTCCCTAAAAGTTTAGGGGTAAGATCATTCAAATTTTATCTCTTTGAAAGATAAGACTTTTATCTCTTTAAAGGATAATATTTTGGATGATTCTTTTTACTTGTTTTTCGAGTTTTCCTACAATAAGGAGTCAGCTTTTGATGTCCACTCAACCATTGGATGAAGACTACATCAAAATGGATGGCTAAGACCACTCTACAAAGAAGATGATGATAGAGTTTTAACTCAAGGGAGATTCTATCCATTGGAATCTTTCTAAGAGATTATCTCTTTGTATTTTGGAGTTTTAATTAATTCCTACAAGTCTTAAATGTTTTAAGACTAGTAAAAGTGTCTAGGTTCGTTATCTTATCACTTAAGATAACTAGGAGTCTTTAGAGTTTGATTTCATTTCAAATTCTTAGAGATAGGAATAGAGGTGAAGAGTTGTGTTCTTCCTCTACTTCTAGGATAGAAATTTCGGCCACCCCTCTATATAAAGGGACCGAAATCCTCTTGTCCAACACCTTTTGGTCATTTGAAATTTTCCTGAGTGAAATTGGTTAGGATTTTATTCCTTTCGTGGAGTTCTTGTGAGGACTTCTTTGTTTGATTGTTGCATATGTGTTGTGACAATTGTTAGACTTATCTATCTTGTTTAGTTCGCTTGATAGTGGCGTCTATAGCATTGGATCTTTCGAATCTTGGTATTTGGGCTCATAGATCTCATATCTATTGGGTTTTCTTACACAATTTTCCAAAGGGTCTCTGCTTGGTTAGAATTAGCTCTCTTCATTTTTGATTTGGGTTTTTCTACCATTGAACTCGTGAATTGATCCACGTGAGGTCAAATATCTTTTCTTTTCTTTGTTTTTCGTGTGTTCTAGAGTCTTTAAATCCGAATTTCCAAATTCTGCTGCCTACAAATCTCTGACTTTCCGAACTAGCAAAGTTGATCTTTTCTTAAAGATTGGTTTTGTTACGGATTGCTATCATAATTTTGGTATTCAGAGCCTTCTTATGGTTTTACCATAGTTGGCATATTTAGAGCCATAATTTGGTATATTAAGAATCATCTTTGGTTACCATAATTGGTCTCAAAATTTGGATTTTTTGTTCTTTTTGTTTTCTTCCTCTCTTCGAATTTTCCTCTCCCAAAAGAGGGCATTCGTAATATTTTGTTTTTGAGTTGTTCACCACTTGGACAATTCCTTTTTAGTTTCGTGCCTTTCGTTTTGTTATCATCCAATTGCAAACTTTGGTGATTGTGTTTGATATATA